TCTCCCCCCCCCCACGAATTTTCTCTTTGCTTCTATTCTTGTTCTGTCCTTCCTAAATCTCTTTTTTTATTTTGTTAACTCTGTTTCATGAAATAATCCTAGTTTGCACTGAGAATAGTACGAAACGCATAAATGAAATGCATATTTAGTAATTTTTAAAGCAGGCAGGACATGTAATTACCATTAGGCCTTGAAGGACAAAGCAAGTTACATACATATAACCTAAAGAATCAGAGGCGTCTTCTGCCCTCCACAGACTACGATCGAGCCAGTTCCGACTGACTGTAGTCATAAGGTATCGGGTGATTGCAAGTCCATTACAAGTTATTTTTGCGCGAAACCTATTTTTTAAAATAAAATCTGCGATTTAGTCCTAAATACCTGCGTGTGAACGACGTAACATTTGATGCCTACCCACTTATTCAACTTTTCTCCTTAAGACCATTTCTACATGCTGCTGACGGTACATCTAATAGGCTAACCGTGGTCGCTTAATGTGGAGAGCACGATCGTATATTTTTAGAAATCGCTCTGATGACATCTAATACCATGTCAGAATTGACAGTTCTATTTTTAGAACTGCGACAATGTAAATCGTGCTTGTACCAAACGATGCTCTTCAATTTTCCACGCATCCCGTGTAGTCGAAAAGTTTCCTAGCCAAATATCCCGAAGTCATATTCATTACAACTGAACAAGATGGCACGTTACTCGCTGCTGCTATACTTACCCTGAGCGCCAACGTCAACAGATTTTGAAATATTACGGCGGTCCATTGGTTGCGCCGGTTCAGCGATTTTAACATAACAGTAGAAAATGCAGCGTTTCTGATTCTTAACGCAGATGGTGCATATAGTTAAGACGTGATGAACTGATTTCATACATAAATAGCACGGCTTCCAAAATAAAATAAATTACAATTATGGTGTATGAATAGAAACTAAGAACACGTTAACACCAAATTAAACCGCTGTTGCTCGTATGATGTCCCGCAATGGTAGAAGAATGATGGCGCTATGTAATTAGTCTCGTAATTAATTGATAACGTCCTTCGTAAGTAGTCGTATGTGCTTATATGAGGCTGTCATGAAAATGGAAAAGAATTGTGGCTGTGTACTGAGCAACTTGTACTGGTACCGGTAACTCTGTCGACATGTATTGAAAGGTACCCGGTTTGAGTCTGTACATGGCAGTAGGATACCATGACAGGCTGTTTGGGGTTTTCCTCCGTTGCACTGGCGAATTTCGGCACAGATTACTATCGTCTGTTTTCAAACCCATATCTTACTACCATTTAGGAGCATCTATCCGTCACATTTGATGCTATATAAGCTTTGCAGTTGAAATAGAATCAATCACTCAATCGGAAAGTCAGTGAGCGCAAGCAATTGTCATGTCTGATGGAGGTTATTTCTTAATTTCATCACAGGAGAGTGAGAAAAATCAGCAAGAGCTGTTAACAGGAAAGAATACAACAAGGTTATTATTATTTAGTGTTCTGTCTGACGACAGGTCCATTATTCTGCCCAAAAAGAGTTCGCCAGTTTTTCCTATTCTCAGCTTCTCGTTTTATCCTGAAACTTCATCTTCTTTCCTTGTTTCAGATCGTCGGTTAGGTGCATCAGTCTTCTTCCCAGTCCTCGCTTTCCTTCAACCTGGCCTTCGATTATATCACTCAGTACTCCATTCCTTCTCAAAATATGTCACAGCCAGTTAGCTTTCCTTCGTGTAATCGCCTGCAGAATGTTTCTTTGCTCGTTGACTCTCCTCAATACTTCTTCGTAGGTCACTCGATCCGTCCACCTGATCTTCTCTATTCTTCTCAAACACCACATTTCAAAACTCTCCAGGTATTTCTGTTCCTTCTTCCCGAGTGTCCAAGTCTCTGCTCCATATAGCGCGACACTCCATACGTAACACTTCACTAGTTTCTTCTTCATCTCCAAGCCCAACTTGCTAGTGAGAAGTATCCTCTTCTTGACGAAAGTTTGCGTCCGTCGTGATTATGCTTCCCAAGTACTTGAAGTGCTCCACATTCTCCAGCTGTTGGTTTCCAACTACAACGTTCAATGGTTCTGCTCTCGGTGCTATCCTCATTACCTTTGATTTTTCAATGTTGATTTCCATTCTATACTCACTACCTGCTTTCACTAACTACAACAGGGTACTTGCCAAATAGCAGCAAAGAACGAAACGTAACGTGGTGGGAAAACATAAGCGTCTAAGCTAGAAAAATATCTGGTTGTTGCAAATGATGGGAAGAAAGATGCTACATATTAAGTAACTACAAAATTCGCGATTTACGCCAAGCATAAATGACGAAATGCCGACTTCGTGCTTCTTACTCGCGTCAGCCCGGATCCAGCCGAATGTTGCCGACGAAGAAGCGAGAGTCGAACGCGGCGTGCAGCTGGCAGTGTTGTTTTGAAACCGCTATCAGGAGGTTGCAGCTCGCGAAGCGAGACAGGTGTGTTTTGGTAAAGTGATCGTGCGACATGTGCAACTAAACCCAACATTCTGTGCTTTTTTGTAAATACAACACAAAAGGAAGTTTGTTTCTTCTAAATATCGCGATATAAGTAGCGAATGATGAATCCGATACATCTTAGTCTCATTTGACACTTTGCCGGTGGCCAGCTGATGCTAAATTTGTGATTAACTCGCCACATAATTTAACCATTTGTTAAACTAATTGAGGATTCCGTACATAAATAAGACTTTTCCCTCTTCCTGTTCCTTTGGTTTTTGTTCCTTTTGTTATTTTCTGTTGTGATGGCATCGTCGAAGGTTGCTAGACGCCGTCAAGGCAGTCTTCCAAAAGAACCACCAGCTTCTGTTGATATCAGTGATTCCGATGGTGAAAAGGACAGCGGCCTAGATGACTTCGAAATCATCAAAACGATAGGTGAGTCAAGTTGACAAGTGTTGTCAGTGCAGAGTGTTTGTATTCGGTATTCGGTGTTAAACGCGTGTTCTGGCAAGAATGAACTAGGCCGAGAACGCATGCACTAAAAGGGACAAGATTCAGAATGCCGCAATTTTCTCTATAGTGTTTTAATAACATAAAAAAATCAATCCAATCAACCTCAAACAATACAGTCGCAGCTCGATCGTGAATGTTTTCTTTCGAGTACGAAGTCCAGGGAAATGCTGTGCTATTCTGACATTTTTGTTTCGGCTAGCTTTCTGTGCTGTTAATATCGATTGTGCAGGGAAGTTGCATTGCAGACATATCGACTAAAACTTCGTGTTTGCGTTATTTGAAACAAAAATCTACCAATCTGCCAATCTTCATGTTTCGTCTCCAGAATTACTAATCGGATATCCATCAAATTTCATACCAAATGAAATTATTTTTTGGGATGTATCGTTGCTAAGTTACTACCAATTTACACGAAACTTAAATCGATCTTTTTATCATAACTTCTTATCAAATAAAAGAGAAAGGCTCATCATAAAAAGAGGCAAGATACATGTGTTTTCCCGAAGGCACGTTATACACAGAGGAACCAGTTCTGTGAAATCTGTTTCATAAAGCTGGAAAGCGTGGTGTCATCAAAAAATGCCGTTGTTTTAAATTAGAGGTAACACACAGTCACGTGAAATAACAGTTGCGCAACAATCATTTCATGCGATTCTGTGTATGAAACTCAATTTGAAACAACGGTACTTTTCGATAAAACCATAGTTCCCATTTTTACTAAACTGATTTAGTGGATCTGGTTCTCTGTGTATGACTCGCCTGCAGGGGACTGCACGACATTGTTTGAAGAGACACGGAATTTTGTAGTTTCATTACAAGAACTGTCGCAGTAGACACCGGTACTGAAATAAAGACGTTCTTGAAACCAAGCGGAGAGCGAGCGATCAGAGTGTGACCTCATGGTCCATGCTGCAGCTGTTACAACTGAAAGGTCAACTGGAGTAGGCCGACGTGAACCTCGTGGCGCAGATGGCTTGGGCCGTTTGCTGGTGTACCGCAGAACGAATCGTCTTTATGCTTTATTTGCACGGAATGCAAGTAATGAACGCATAATCTGGAGGTCTACCCGCATGTTTCACCTCTGAATTTGGCATTTGTGGTCTACTCTAAAGTATCGGACATATTTAATTTTGGTTCATACTTGTCTGATGTATCTTGTACTTTACATGAAGTTCAAATAGGACTTTAGCCGAATTCTGTGTTCATTTCGGCTTTTGCAGATACAGATTTATGGTAAAGACGTAAAAATATGTTTTACTGCTTTGTATAGAAGTAGGTATATAGTAGGTCATTGATGAGCGAACAGTCTTTTGTTTTGATGCACTGTTTCCACACAATAACTGCCTGCTAGCAGAACCCGCAGGTACAACATCGACAGTACCAAAGTCCGCCACCGGCCTCGATCCTGAGCGAACTCCATCTATTTACCATCCTCACAGCCCACCTCCTTAAGATCAATCTTGAAATTATCCTCCCATCTCCTTCTTGGTCTGCCAGTGGTCGTTTTCAAGAAGGATTCTCAACCAAAATTCTGTATGCGCCCGTTGCCTTCTCCCATGCGTGCTACATGCCCAGCCCATCAGAGCCTCATAGATTTTGCTGTCCTCACTCTGCGAGGTGACTCGTACAATTCACGCAGGTCCTCGATATTCAATATTCTAAATTTCCCACTTATTTAATCCTTCCTAGCACCTTGTTTTCAGACGTTTGTAATTTACGTTCAGCTGCAGAATTAAAAAAGAAACAAGAAAATAAATCCACATGGTCTCATTTCATATGTAAATTACTGTTTATTAATTTTTTCTCAGATTTTATAAATAGAATTGGGAGGGGGGATAAATGATGAATTTGGAAAGGATGCGGGAAAAAGCGGTCGTCGAATGAACCTATAATAAGGCAGAATCCTAACATTTACCTGGTGGAACTGAGGAAAATTGCTAGAACGCCAGTCATTCCTGGTCAAAAATCTAACTCCAGAATGCAAAACAGAATTTATACCCACTGAACCGAAAAGTTGGTCGTTTCGTTTCGTTTTTGTTTTACATGCTGATATTAAGTCCGCGCTGTGTAACCATGTGAATGGAGACGCGCTGAATCGACGGCATGGTAATTTATGTTGATTATACAGTAGCTGACAGGAATTCAGTCTGCATTTTTATCGAATCAGGAACCGTGGAACGAGAAGTGAGACATAAAATTCAAAGTTCTGATTGAATAGCTTCATATTTACGCACAATGCAATTATTTTTATTGTCCACTTGTTTAATGCTTCGTCGTTTTTCACCGAGCGCGGTTATTGGAGAATCACTTCTGTCTTAAGTAAGTTACTTACATTTAGATTCCTGACAACAGACTTCCGTGCGCGGTAAGGGGTGGGACCATGTTTCTGTAGAACCGTGTAACGTAAAATCTTACACCATTACCACTACACCAACCTTTTTTGACGGGGAATGGCACTCAACTTGGTTGAGTTAAATTTGACATGTGACTGGGGCGCGCTAGACTTTGCTTTCAAGTTGACCGTAAGTTATACTTTACATAATGACAAACTTTCTTTAGTGTATTTCTTGAAATATAAGAAATTGTCAAATTTGATAAGGATCTTAACAAGATACGCATCCATACGATGTGGTCTGTGTAAACCTATATGTACGATGAACCGCTTTAGACGAACTGGATAGCACTGGACTCGGACCTATGGTCGCTGAAATCATTCATCATGTTTTAATTAATGAACTGTCTGTTCCGAGTCGATTTATAAATTCTACCAAGGATCGCGTAGCAGTTCAGGATTAAGTCTTTACGTTTTAATATACAGGGTGATTCAAAAAGGACTTTACAACTTTGAAAGTGTATAGAAATTTATTCAGAAGGCTTACAGAATCGGTTGAGGTGTCGTTTTGTAGCAAACCAAATCACGTTTTACCTCAAACAGTCATTTTGGTTCGATATGATTGCCATTGGTGATACTGCAGACATCCCACCTGAAATCAATTTCTTGCCAAACACGATCCAGCATATCCGGTGTCACTTCTGCAACTGCGGCGGTGATTCGAGCTTTGAGCTCAGTGAGATTGGCAGGCGTTGATTTCGCTAGACTACGGACAAAGCTCTCCCTCACTCGTTCCAAAACAGCACTAGAAACACGCGGGCGACCTGGAGATTTGTCATGGCGAACAGAACAACCAGTCTCAACAAAATTCTTGGGCCAAGAGTAAATTGTAGGTCTACTGGGAGTATCCTTGCCATACTGGGTGCGAAAATTTCGTTGAACCATTGTCTCAGATTTCGTTTCTTCAAACCACAGCACACAGCGAGCGCGCTCCGCACCTGTGAAAGTAGCCATTTTCAAATGCACTGCCTCTTGCGCTCGCGGTGACGGAATTCGGTACTACAGCACAACGTGAGTCAAACTCGATTTGTTTTGCTACAAAATGACACCTCAACCGATTCTGTAAGCTTTCTGAATAAATTTCTATACACTTTCAAAGTTGTAAAGTCCTTTTTGAATCACCTGGTACATAAGTTTCTAAATTAGACGTGCAACTGACGTAAACTGTGTGACAGACTTTATTATACGTAGGTCAGTAGAATTGAAATGCGTCAACAATAGTCTTAAAAATAGGAAGTGAAGTGCTGGTTGTATCATTATTAATTTACGTTAATTCTACCAGGGATTTCGCCGGCAGGGACTTGTGACGTCTTGCTCTGATAGTTTTTTTCTTTTTGTGTAATTCGGGCGTAATTTGTTACCAAGCTCTCGCACGCTCCAGGCAAATATAATTTTGCCCCACGTTTGTGAAAGTCTGGATGAATTAAGGAGGTAGTCTATCCTGAGTTTCTTGTGCTAGGCTGCGACCTTTTGTGTCAGCTACAACGTCTTTCAGGCTGTATTGTTCTGATATCTGCGAAAAGCATCGTAACAAAAGTGAAATGTAAACGTTGTTACGAACACAGAAGACACCAAGCGTCGCGGCCGAGTGGTTGGCACTCTCACTTCGTATTCGGGACGTTTCGGTTTAAAATCTTAGCCCGGAGACTGACTGTCACGATTGAGGTTTTCTTTGTGTGGCTTTTCTCGGTCTTTCCAGTCAATTTGCTGGGATCGTGGCAGCTTAAACTAGGCAATTTCACTCCACACGATCGCTTCATTTTATACACTTTTAGGGCTTTTTAATCATCGTATAATTCAAGGCTATAGTTTCTGGGCTACTGACGAAGTCGATAAATAAACAGTAAATGAAAGTAAATTTACTATATTTTGATGTGTTCTGGGGCCCACCCAGCCTCCTATCCAATGGGTACCGGGGTCTCTTCTCCGGGGGGTAAAGCGCGGCTGGGTCGTAATGCTAACCACTCACCCCCATCTAGTGCCGAGGTCAAGGAAGAGAGGAGCTATACCTCCACTCCCCCCAAGTGCCTACATGGCGTATAGTGGGACAGCTTTACTTTACTTTACTTGTACAGAGTGAATTAAAGAAAAATGCCTTCGTGTCCATTATGTATAAGAGATATCCGATAATTGGAATTCTGCATTAAAGATTGTCAGACGAACATGACTTCGGACAGCATCTTTGCAACATACTCCATCTTGATATGAAGCCTAGATCAAAATCATTTTTATCAAAATAGAACTGTTTATACAAAGAATTACATAACACAAAGTTCAGATGTAGTTGAAATGCACACAATTTTTTGATGTTTTAAACGTAACGGAGAAGGGAAAGCATTAAGTTCGTGAACTGTGTCTAGGCCAAATTAATACGAGTATCAAGGTCATTGCGGTATGTAAAACTCAACAAAAAAAATATATGTGCCCAGTTTTGGAGTCTATTTTCTTGTCTTGTCTTGTTAAGTACTGGAGCTATGTTCTTGTTCCTCGCCAAGTAACACTTAGGTTGCGTCCCCATAACGTGCTGATA